AAAAAAAACCATTCAGGTATCTGCAAGCAGCAGCAAAGCAAGGACAACTACCTTCCTTTATCAGCTGCATCAATCCAACTAGTGATTCGCCTAGGACAGCTTTATCACTACATGTATGTTAAGTTCATCAGATTCAAAAAAACTCTACCCATTTGCCGAAGTAGTCAAAAAAATTCTCTGAAATTTTTCCCGACAAATAATTGCGGAATTTCTGCGTTCTGCAGCAAGGGAAGGAGATAATTGAAACATCGAAAAGAACTTGAAAACTTTGAAATTAAAAAAAAGGTCATTTGTGCTTGCACCAATGATTTGAATACCTGTTTTTCGATTATAGATTCTCATTGCTATGATAGTTTCCTTCGCTGGAAATCTAGATAATCTGATCTCATATGTGTCTTTCGCTCAATGGTCTCAACGAGCATGCACAATGGGTGCACTGATCTGGATCCGATTACGGTAATGCTTACTGTATTTACATGTCAGCTCAGAGCATGTTCAAAATTCACAAAATTTTAGGCATTGGCCCGTTCATCCTGAAAAAATTCGCATGCCTATCATTATGCCAGTCTTCTTTTGCATCGTTTGTACAACATTGGTAAGTATTCCAGATGAAGCTCTAGATATCAAATTGTCAAAATTTTGAGATCTTGAAATTTTAGGTGGTTGTGACAATCATTGACAATTTCTCATCAGCTGTTGTCGGTCTAGGTAGGATTTTTCTTTAATAGCATAGTTCATCGAGATTTTTCAGTAACTTTCTTACTGTTTCGACCAGTCCAAGATTTTTGAACTGCTTCTCACAACATTTTACAGTCTTTTATCACTTTTTCAAAAAAATTCAGCTGTTCAAAAATTTTTCACATTAAGCATTCATACATGGATGGAAAGGTCCTAGGCTTCTAAAATTTTCTTTGACAACAATTTTTTTTAATTCTCTAATATATCTGCATTTATAGGTATCTGGGTCATTGGGTTTATTGTCTACCTCTTATTTATTTTCGAGCGAGCTCTTCCTTCTAGTGCTACCTACAGGAAAATAACAAACAAACTCAACGGTACATGTTTAACCTCAAATC